ATGAGTGTGAGAGTGTTAATGTGTCTGGTCATTTTGGATCTTAAACATAGTTTAAAAAAAATCATATTGAAATCTTCACATGGCAAAACTAATGGCCCCAGTTGTGCTGCCAAGACATGATCTAGAAAGTGTGTGTTGGTGCTGCCAGTGTGGCATTTGCTGCCCATTGGCATTAGTGGAGCGTGCCACAGGAGCCCTTGTGCCGAGGTTGCTTGAGCACAGCTGAGTGGGGCAGAGGGGAAGTGTTCCATATCACTTCCTACCTTCAATAAACATTGCCTTAATTTAGCAGCTGAAGTTCTGTTCATAGCTCCCTGAAAACTTTAGAACCTGAGTTAATTAGAATCTGTAGAGTTCTAGTAAGGAAAGGATGTGACGTGTGGCCAAGTATGGTGTCCCATACTTGGAATTTGTGCTCTGTGTTTGACCCATCCAAAGTGCACACACACAGCAGTGAGTAGTGAACAAACACGCGCACACACACACACCGTGAACACACACCCGGAGCAGTGGGCAGCCAATGCTGCGGCGCCCGGGGAGCAGTTGGGGATTCGGTGCCTTGCTCAAGGGTCTCACCTCGTCGTCGTGGTATTGAGGGTGGAGAGAGAGCGCTGGATATTCACTCCCCCCACCTACAATCCCTGCCGGACCTTAGACTCGAACCCGTGACTTTCGGGTTACAAGTACCAGCACGACTAACATAGTAAAGGTTAGACTCTTATTGTTCCTCTTGTGATTAGGGTTGTTTGTATAAAATAATTGTCTTAGAGTGCTGCAGGGCTCGACAGTGCGACCATTTCAGTCGCATTTGCGACTGAAAACTACTGCGTGCGACTATGAAATTTATTTTAGGAGCACCAGTGCGACTGACCCGATCATCATCATACTTGTGATTGCGCTCAGGGAAGCTTCAAAGCTTTCTACATGTTTTTGCAGCGTCGAGTAATGTATCAGACATATCTCACCAATCCTTCATAAGCAAAGTGTAGACAGGGTGTAAATAAGAGATTCATCACACAGTGTAGAGAGCTTCGTTGATTATAAATGTGAGCTCGCGATGAACTAAGATGATGAGTGACAGCTTTGAATGATTTTTAAGGGAGTTTGTAAATGTGATAACTGATTTAATACAATACAATTCAATAAACAAGAAGTTAATTTTAAGTTACTTACATTGTCTGACTATAACACTATTGTCTGATTTTGCTCTATTTCGTTGTATTTCGAAATATTTCGAAAATAGTTTAAAAACAAAGTCACAGCTCAACCGCTGCGCATCTCCATTCAAACACAGCGGTGTTTCGTTTATGAACGAACAGTTTTTTTAAACGAATCTAGTGAGTCAGTGATTCATGATTACCCATTCATAAAGACAGTCACTCTTGAATGAATAAGCCGTTCGAATGAATCAATTGAATGAATGATTCAGTGATAAAAATCAGTGACTTGCCGCCACCTGCTGGCAGTTTTAGTTTCATTTTTAAAGTATCTTTTCAGTTATTTAAATCATTTAATATTTCTATATTCAAAATTTTATATTTAAAACATTAATATCATCATGGATTTAATTGCACTCATTCCACTTCTGAACCTCATTAAATGTCTGAAAGTACATCAAACAACACTTTTGTGTTCTTCTGTGCCACCTCTACAAATTATTTTTGTTAATACTGATTTCATTTGATTTTTAACTTGTTTCTTATTCTACTCTTATTCTGTTGTTAAGCTTATAAAATATAATTTAAGAATTTGACAAAAGATGACATACTTTTAATAAAGTTAGAGGAGTCAAATATTACCTCGTAATGGGAAGGCTACTTTTTGATAACATTTTGGATTATTGATTAGAAGGTGCTCCTAAAATTTTGAACGTGCTCCTAAATTTTTTAAGTTAGGAGCACAAGTGCTCCTAAAAAGAAAAGTAAGCGTCGAGCCCTGGTGCTGGAGTGCTTAGGCTGTTGAAAAGACCCGTTTGGTTCAGGTTAAGAACAGTCTGCTGGGTAAACAATCGGTGGAGGATTCTAGAGCCCAAGAGTTTCAGATTGTTTACTGTGGCAGTTGAGCTCCTTATCAACATGGAAAACAGCCTAAAGGCCGCAGCCACTTTTTATCACCCCTTTTTTTTTAATGTCAATGTAGGGCCATCACTGGGGGGGTCAAGAGGTAGAGTCTGCTTATTAGGCATAGTGGAAAGGGTGCCCATCCATAAACAAAATGTCCCAGGACCTGTGAATTTTCAACAGACCTTAAACATAAAATTTGTTTTATTTTAAGCTGTATTATAAATTTTGTCCAAAATATTTCCATTCATTCATTCATTCATGTTTAATTCCAGAATTAATCATTTTTAATCATTCTAGAATGTTTAATATGCTGCTGAACAACCTTCAGCTTTGACCGTGTTCACAATATAGCGTTTCGTTCCGTACTGCTTAAATAGATTCCTGTATGATTTTTCTCAATGATTGTAATCTGCAATTTCTGCCATGATGAGAGTTCTGGCGCAGATGAGTCCTGTGTTGTGTTTGTTTGATCACTTGGAACACTTGTCCTGGATGATGTCATTTGCATTTAATCCTTCAATTAATTTGTCTTTTTGAAGTCAAGCTAGGACTTCTGGGGGAAAAAAACTTTTGCTGAATGCCTATTGTGTAAAACGGTTTACAAACAAGCCTTGTTGATCACAGAATCTTGTTAATTCAGGAGCTGTTGGTGAATACTAGCACAGTAAGGTTGTGTAGTGTCTGGACCAATCAGACACACCATTTTTCATTTGATTTAACAAATCAATTATTCATTAGATTAACAAATCGTCACAGTCCCCTCACCCAATAAACTGGATGCCAGGATGTCTGCAACGACACAAGGCCCAGGTCCCTGGTTACCATGGCAACCCTGACACTAGATACATTTACGACCTAATGGAATTTAGGTGGGGAAAATCACTGCCTTTTCCATAAGGAAAATCCCCAAGGCACAGTAGGAATGGACTTTTCTACCAATTAATATAAAGAAGAACTTTTATTTGAATGAACACACATAGCCTTCAGGTCATTGTGTATATTATTGCTGTCTTGTATATTATCTATTGTATTGTAGACTATTTTATGCATGCTTATGATAGAACCACTCATTCATGTAACTTTACATATAACGTCTTTGGTCTCTATTAATTCGTATTCGGATGATCTAATTGAGAGTGTATATTGTATGTTTATACCTATGCAACATATTAGTGTTCTAAGAATCTTTAGTAATTTTGATCCAAGTTTCATATGCAAATTACCACGCTTTCAAACAAAGGGTCATAAAAACTCCCCAGTATCTCAAAACTCCCACTTGGGATGTCAGCCTTTCTCATTGGACAAGCCCATCTTGAGAGGCGTGAATCTTTGCAGACTTTAATGGCCGCACTTCATGTGACCCGCCCAGAGTCGGTGGTTTTTGAATTCTGAGAGGATGTGAGAAAAACGCTCCCGGAAACCCTAAGCTCGTGCCAGGCTTCGGCCTTGTCTTTTCCATTCATCAAGTTCCTCTGACGCAAACTGGTTCTTTTCATCAACCAACTTCAGCAAAGATCAACTGGAACCTTCA